GAATCACTCACTAAGAACTAAAGAACAAACAAAGTACTCAAACTTTGACAAGAAGAACAATTTCTATTAAATTCAATGATCAAGGGTGCTTTACATTGTGACAAAAGACTGAGCTTTATAGGCTCATGTAGGAACAAGCTCCAACGGTCTAAAACATAAATAATGAAAGAAAAATATACGAAATAAATGAGAAGACTTAAAGTTTTGGTGGAGCCTTTTCGAATTATGGTCGTTGGTGAGTGATGACGTTGGGGCTGCTTATGGAAAGACTTGTATCTCGAGATTTTGATGATAATTTTGTGTGGAGAGAGTCTCTGGTCAAGGTAAAATCTTCCACAGTCAATAGTCTTGAAGCTTTCAAAGAGAACTAGTTGTTGGAGTGAAATAAGTATTCTCGGGTCTACATATGGTAAGTAGTGTCTTGGCTTGATCTCTTGAGTTTTTGAGTTGACTCGGTGTAGGTTGACGTTCCTGAGAGACTCCAGATTACGAGTTCTCCTGGTCGCCACAAATAAGTTTGAACTCTCTTAAGCCTGGCAGGTTCCAAATAAGGCAGGTGTAGGATCCTCTGGTTTAGAAACTTAATAACTTTCACATCTGAACCGGTATTGATGTGAATAAAATACTCTGAGTTCCTCAGTTGACTCAAGAGTCTAAACCAATTCGTTTCGTTGCTAAATTTCCTCTGGTTTGGTCGCAATTCTCCAATGACTGCGCGTAGGTCCAAATAGGGTAAGTCCAAAAACACTCAACTTGTAAACTGAATATCTCCTTTGTCGGAACTCCGACTGGGTTGATTCAAATTCATGGCTTTCTGTCGTTGAGCTGAGAACGTTTTCCAAGTGGTTCGATGCTCTGAATATCCATGGTTAATTTGGTATGCTCTAAGAAAGGCACTTATGTCCTTGTTGAATCCTATGTGGCTTGAATGGTATGTTTGATGGAGCTCCAAGCCAGCTACATGTTGATGAGGACATCGACCTTAACTCAACCGGATCAGAAGAGAATGTTATCATTCCAGCCATGAGACGAACACCAAGGACAAGGTCAGGGACAAGGAGTATAAGAGAGGAGTTCAATAAGTTAGTACAAGCCTTAATATCCCTCATAGAACATGAAGAACTTAAGGGCAGGCTGCTCACCAAGGAGATTACCCACAAGAACAATTGGTCCCCTAGAAGAACCAAGCCTGACAGCGACTCAAAGCCAAGAGGATGAGCAAGCTACTGAACTGGAGACACACCTAGAAGCGGATATTACTCCAAGAAGACACGAGCCTGCTTACTTGCACTTTAAGCCTCCAGCTAAATCCTTCTTGCAAATTCTACAAGGAACTAAGGATGGAGCCTTGTTCATCATCTCAAGGCAACTCTAGGGACGGGCATGAATTCAAGACCAGGCGCAACAACACTTCAATCTTCTATTCCTAAGGTACGCGTTTGATTTTTGATTTCTGACCAAACTTTCCTTTTCTGTTTCTTGCAGCATTTCCCCCTTTAGACTACGTGATGTTCTTTTTCTTTGTCTTAGAAGTCCCAGCGTTTTTATTTAAAGAGTNTGTTGTTTTCTACTNTCCTTTTCTTGTCATTTTCGGCCAAAGAAGCCCTAAGCTGAAGAACCAGTTTATAAGGTTCCTTTTGCAGCTTGTAACACACACGTTTTATGAAATAAAGACCTAAATTTTCTTCAATAGAAAGCATTGCCGCCTCATACCTTCTTGTGTGTGAAACCTTGAAGCTTGGAGCACAGACTTATCGTAGAGCTCTCACCCACTGTGTGGCATCATTCAATCTCCAGTTACTCTTCTTGTTCGTCATTTCCATCAACCATCTCAACAGATTCTTTAGGGAGAGTCGTACAACCAACTATTGAATCCCCATCCTTGTCCATTGTAAGAGCAAGCCTACTTGTTCCTACATCATCTGGTATCAGAGCTTAGGCTCACAATCAGATGAATCTATCCCCTTTCATTTCTATTGTTTTGTTTTGTGTTCTTCGTACCCAAAAAAAAAAA